TGATCAGCGATTGCTCCAGGGAAATGAGACTTTCTGATCACTTTCAGAAATGGAGACCAACTCATGGTTGATTTGTCTATAAAGCAGGGCTATGCATCACATGTAAATACATGTAATATGTGTGATGCTATCACATTGTGCCTGTACTGAATCTGACGACTTTTCAAGTCTGAGGTTGTCCGTGTCAGTGTTCCTGATGTTCAAAGCTTGTCTGATAACTTGTGGGGGTTTTCCCTTTTCTTCTAAGGAGCCCCTCAAATTGACTCTGGTGAGAGACCCCTTCTTTCAGTTATTTGTGTTGAAGTCACATGGATTAAAACACGCTCCCTTGACTGCAAGTGAGTGATGCTTCAAAGAAGGACTTCACTTGTTTTGTATTTACTTGCCAGGTCAGTTACTCACAATGCACAACGGTGCAGCCCAGCTGAGACCTGCATGGATTCCACCATCAGTGGCTTCTCCGAAGGACCCAGACAAATTGGTGAACACTGTCTTCTCTTTTACCATACCCTTCAGCCTCTTGGTGTCTGCCTCCACAGCATCCTCAGACACTTATTGTCCATTTGTCATCCTCTGGTGGCTCATAATGCTTGTTCTACCCTGTCTCATTCTGTCTGTTCCCCCAACCCTCATCTTTTTTTTTTTTTTTTTTTGAGTAGGAGTCTTACTTTGTCGCCCAGAGTGGAGTGCGGTGGCATACTCATGGCCATCGCAGCCTTGACCTGCTGGGCTCAGGCAATTATATCTCTTCCTCCTCTCAAAGTGCTAGGATTGCAGGCATGAGTCACCATGCCTGGCCTTAATTTTTTGATTTATTGTACAGACGAGGTCTTGCCAAGTTTTCCGGGCTGGTCTCGAACCCTCGGGCTCAGGCAATTCTTTTTCTTCTGCCTCCCAAAGTGCTGGAATTACAGGCATGAGCTACCATACCCAGCTCTGTTGCTTTTTATAGCATTTCAAAATACTTGTTTATTCCCTCTTATGCCTTATCAAATAGTAACCTTATTATTTTAACCTGAAGTAGACTTCACCTCTTTTTCTTAAAGTACTAATATAGAATTTTAATTTCATTTATTCAATTTCAAAATAGCAGAGAGATTTTTAAAAAGAAATATAATGCAGCCAGTTGCATTGGCTCATGCCTATATGTCCCGACCAGCAGGACAAGTAAAACGTGGGCACGAGGAGGACTACCTGCTGCTGGTGAAAAGAGAGAGAGAGAGACCAAGAGAGAGAAAGAGACAGGAGACACGCAGAATGGAGGCAAGACAGTGTTCTGATCAAGCCTCTAAATTTTATTGTTAGGCGATTGCTTATATACATAGCAAAGAGGGGCGGGCTGAAATAGGGCGTGTGGCGGCTTATGATAGGAGGAAGAGTAGTGGGTGGTATGA